CAATTATATTATAAAAATAGACGAAATAGTAAATACCAATGTAAAATTTGACAATTCTAAACACACAACAGTGATATCTCTACTTCATTAGCCATTCATCCATTGTCCATTGCATCGTATGTACTGTTAAGTGTTGTTTCGTTTTTTTTAACTTTGTTCAATTTTTTTTTTTAAATATGTCCAAAAATGTATTTGACATATTTAATTTAAAAAAAAGAATGTTCCGACCGTCGATATTGACCAAGTCAGAATTGATTCTGCATTATTTGAATCATCTTGACTGTACATTCAGGCACGGTAAAACAATCGTGAACGTAGTTTTTCTGCAATGAGAAGGATTAAAACATGGCTGAGGTCATCCGTGGTACAGAATAGATTTAAAAATTTAGCTATAATTAGTATTGAGAAAGATATTTCTAAAAAAATTGATAAAGAAGTCATACTAAATTTATTTGCAAAAAAAAATAGATACATTATTTTAAAATATATATTTTTTAGTTTCATTATAAAGAGTTTTCATTGTTAAAATTCAAGTATATGTATGAGTATATGCATAGTATAGTAGTATATCTATCTAAAATAAATCATGCTTAGGTTTTGCATGATATTTATAAGGTAATATAATTTTTTTTTTTTTTAGCTTTGATTTGCAATAAAGTATTTTTAAATATTAGCCCCCTCTAAAATTATGGAGAATTTCCGCCTATGCTTACTTTATGTCCACAGAAGGAGAACTGACATGGCAATATCAATATATTTAAGTAATATTTAAATAATTTAAAAAAAAAACAACTAAATAATTTTTTAATAAAAAATTTCAATTTTTTAAAGTTTAGATTTAAGTCTTTTTTTTGAAATAGATCTAAATTTAATATTTGATTAATATGAATCTGACAGTGAAGAACAGAACTTATTGTATAATATAGGCAATGTGATACTCAAAAAATTTAATAGTAATTATTATTTTAATTTTAAATATTATAATATGCTAAATAATAAAAATACTAAATTGTATATATAACATCGTATATTGTAATATAAATTATCATTTACGTATCTACCAGTATAAAAATATAAATTTAAATATTGATATCGCGTCGCCACCGTCCAATAATAATATTATATAAAAATCTATTATTAGTTTTTCCATTATTTGTTTTTAATTTAAAAATAAATGTGATAACGATTCAGTACATTACCAAGTAATAAACCTGTTTTAATATTAAAATAAGTAACTTACCAATGCATTTGGTACTGTGCCGACAGTCTTCACACATTCAGAAATGCCAGTCATGAATTTCAGTGAATCGAAAAACTCCCAAGAGCTATTCACGGTCTCATCTGCACCTGCTCCACTCTTTTTATTTTTTGTAGTTCACTATTCATTTGGCACCGAAGATTGTGTAACTTTCTACCAACTTCTGCAGAACTAATTACCAATTTTTGAGCAATTGTTTCCATACATTTTGCCTTTAGTTGCCTGTCTCTGTATTCCTTCAGTGCAACCGCTAGAGCGCTCTATATGTTGTGTACACTTCTAGACTAAATCTAGAGAGCTCTAGCTAGGGTAACTCTACGAGAAAAAATCTACAGTGTACAGTTACCTTTATAGAATCCATACTGTAAAAACGTTTTGTTAAAAATGAAATAGGCAAAAACTAAAGTTTATAGAACAAAGTTAAATATTAAAAAAAACATTGTTAGTTAAAAAAAAAATTATTCACCACTATCGTTCCAGACATAGATGACGGATAAGTGACGAACAAGACGATATAAAATTCAAATTCAAGAACATTACTACTAACCGATGGAAACGGTTACGGTTCATAGAGTAATTGCGCCTTCGATAATGCAACGCTGTGGATACGTATTGCCATCAAAATGATAAAATATGTTCTAAAATGCATCGTAAGATCGTGTCTAGACGTCGTACAGTCCACACGTTAATTGTCTCGCGCACCGCTTTTATCAGCTCTCGTTAGCGTGTGGTTTTTGTACGTCTTCATTCAGCGCTCGTCGCGGTACCTGTACCGTTGGTAATGTATAAATTATCTAAACATTCCCCAAGGCCAACCATAATATATTTTATCTACATCATTATGAGTAACTCTCGTCGTCCATCTACTCCTATCGTCAAAAAACCTCAATTAATAATTAATAACAATAAATCTGCAATGAACTCTATTCCTCCGTTAATTATCAATATACAGCCATTAAATGACCAAAAAGGTGGAAATTCTCCCTCTGACCTCTCCGACAACGAATCTGGTTGGCAAACAGTCCCACCATTATTTAAACATGACAGATCTCCTAATAACGCATCTCCGGTTGCTATAAAAGCACCTGATAAAAGCATTTTTATTTCTGCAAATCGTTTTTCTCCGATTGCTCCTGCTACCGTTGATGAACCAATGGACACGACTGTCAATAACGAATCAAACAATGAAAATAAAACCTCAAAACCACCTCCTATTATCATACAAGATCAAATAAATTACAATACCTTCTGTGCAAAAATCATCGAATTAACTCATGCTACCGGCTTTGACTGTAAAAGCTCTACCAAAGGACTTAAACTCCAAACATATAGCCCTGAATCCTATAGAACAGTCATTAAATACCTCAAGATTAACAGTCTCATTTCACTCCTTTCAACTAAAAGAGGAAAAAGCATATCGTGTCGTAATCAGAAATCTACACCACACCACTGATACCTCTTTTATTACACAAAGAAAAACCTACAATTAAAAATAATAAAAGTAAATGAAATATTTTAATCTCCATTGTTTTGTTGCATATAAATATTTAAAAAATAAACATGAACGTTTTGGTTGAAAAAGGAATTTTGGATCTACACCCGATAACACAATAAAATCAGATTGTGTCTAATATTTAAAATATTTAATAATAATATTTATTTAATAATATTTATTTTCTAATATTTAAAATCAGTATTCTGTTTTGGCGTTCATCAAAACCGCACACTTACCGTTCATAACCGCACACATTTGGTTAACAGTTCCTTTCTCTCTGCACATTTTGCATGTACAGTTCACGTACGAGTCTCACACTAAATCTTTATTTTATCCTGGGACCTACTTGGAGTGATGTTACATATCAAATCGGGGGATATTTTCGTTTTTAACTGTCCGAGCCAGCGAGTGATCCCGCTCGGTCACTAGGTGTATTCATGTTATTTTAGATAAAGGTATACGCAATTGATATATATAAATTTGTGCGGTATTGAACGGTTTAATTTGACGAAAATATGTGGGATTAAATCATAAAAGTGTGCGGATTTGAACGATGTCCTGTTTTTGAAAGTGTACGGTTATGAACGACGCCCTTCTGTTTTGGTGAAACAATAAAGTTTAACTAAGTTAATAAAATTCATAAAGCATTAAGTATTTGAATTTCTAAGTTAGTCACGGCAATGAAAATAAGATGAGTACAAAATTTAACAAATCTCTAACCATTTGCGTGTACTTCATTTGCAATCTAATGACATTAATACTACCACATTATAGTCTATATTAGTGTATTACATGGATATATGCTGCAAACAGTATAGCCTATTATTGTTGATAATAAACTATATAAAGTATTAACACAGTATAAGAAACATAGGAAAAAAAGAAAAAACAATAGTATTTGTTGTTCTGATAAATCCATGTTATTAATTAATAATATTAATAATAACACAATCACAATTCTAAATTATGTTCATAGAAAAAAAAATCATTCACAATAAAATTATTAATTATAGTATTTGTGTTAGAACAATTGTTTGCACTGATCATGTTAGATGAAATAATATTTAGGATCTTCTAAATATAACACGGAATGATGTTTTTTTAACATTTACATTTTTTATTGCGGTATACTACCCAAATTTTGGACAACTCATTCCACGTTACTGAAAACAAAAAAATAATAAGTACTTAAAGTCACTAAATTATAACTTAAAATGAACAATGTCTTTATAGTTTACCTTCTTAAATAATATTAGTAAGCATTAAAAAAGTAATCGTTTTAATAATAAATACAAGATTTATTAGCTATTTTATTTCAAAAGCTTCATTGCAGTATTACGAAGAGCATACAAAGATTTACAAATATATAAGTCAAATCAAAAACTAAATTTTATTTTATACACACACCTTTATGCAACAAATTATTCAACCTAAAATTAATAGTTATTCTAAATTTTACATAAAACAATTATTCACCAAATAGTTCTTACTTAATAATCATTAACCAATAGATCATATATCTTTATAAATTGATAAATAAACCTGCAAAAATGACTTAAAGCAAATAAGTTTAATAATTGAGATATCCAGCAGCTAATTCAATATAATATAAAGCATAAAATATAAACACCGAGAACTTTTAATGCATACATATAAAGTACTCATCAAGCAAATATAAATAGTTCATTATAAGCATAATATAATTTTATATAAAAGCATTAGGTTATAATGTTGCATGAGTAATAATTTATTGATAGAATATTATAGGCAATTTAAAATCTGTGTTAATATTACTTATAAATTTCTTACTTCAGAAAAAAAATAGCTATGTTTTACATAAACAAAAGCAAAAAGCAAATAATCAAATAATTTTAATAGTAATCATAAAATCACATTGACAAAATATTAACTATATATTGTGAACATAATTTTTTTTTTATAAAAATTTGACTTAATAAAAAAATAAATGTGTATCCACTCAAATTTGAAAATTACATTAGGAGAATAAAAAGCAAGCAAAATTTAATGAATGTTCAAATATTGGAATAAAATGATAAAAATTTTAAGTGATTTAAAGTTATGATGGATGTTACAGTCCTGCTGATTAATTAATATATGCACAGCTAATTAATTAATTCATAACTCAAGATAATATACATATATATATGTTTTTATCATTATACCGCAATAAAACCAAATAATGTAACAAATATTAAATTCTCTCCTCTAAATGAATTAATGACAAGATTTAAAACATTTACTACACACCTAATATATTTTTATGAAACTGATAAATTATCATGGAATACATATAGTTGTAACAAAACATATTTATTTTTTCTATGAATGGGCTTTGTAATCTAATTATTTCTTTAAAACCTAGTGCCCATTTAATCACATTTAATGTTATTAACATGTAAGAGAAAAATCTTCTTGATCAGGTACATACACAATACGTAACGTGTTGGTGTATCCAGAACCCTTCTTCCATCCAGTGACAACCACCACAGGATCTCCGGTTTTAATAAATCCACGGGATTTTCCAAAGTTAATTGCATGTACAACACGAGTGTCCACATCTTTCAACCAATCGCTTAATGGTTTTTCTATAATTAAACAAATATAATTTAATGTGGTACAATGTATGATAAAATGTAATTATTTAATGTTCTAACCATTGTAATACAAAGGTAAAATTCCACGGTATATGTGGCATTGACGAGCAACTTGTGCATCTCTGGTTATAGCTATAATAGGACTACGTGGACGGTATTTGGAAATAAGATGAGCAGAATGTCCTGATGTTGTGAGTACAACAATGGCAGCTGCTTTGCTTTTATTAGCAGCATCCACAGCAGCAATAGCAGTTGTATGAGAAGCATCTAAAGGCACATTGACCTTAAAAAAATAAAAATAAATTACATCATTTTTCTATATTACATGTAATATGTACTTACAGCAGATGATAGATCAGCAAACAACTGCTTTTGCCAAACAGCGGTTTCAGCTTCTTTGCAGATAGTAGCCATAGTACGTACACACTCTAATGGGTATTCACCTTTAGCTGTTTCTCCAGATAACATAACACAATCAGCTCCGTCTAAGATAGCATTAGCAACATCAGAAGATTCGGCTCTAGTAGCACGAGGTTTCTTGATCATAGACTCCAACATTTGAGTAGCACATATTGCCGGTTTTCCAGCCTATAAAAAAGTTTCAAAATAAGTTTAAATTTATTAAATAATTTAAAATAGAAAATTAATTTGCACGTAATTTCTCTGGTGAAAATTTAAATTGGTAATTTATTAGGATGGGCCGATACCACTTTTTACCGATATAAAACCGATACCCGATATTATAATAACAAGTAAAAACTAAGTTGATTTTTAAAATATTACATAAAAATATCAACTTTTGTGGTAAAAACCATGAACCAATACTAAAATTAATCTGATACCACAAACCAATATTACATAATATTAGTATAAAATTATTTTACTGTGGCCCACCATAGTACTATCAATATTTAGTAATTAAAATATTGTTATTATTGGTATTAATGTATTTTATGCTGATGGTTCTTTTTTTTTTTGCGGTATAGGTTCAAATATCAGTTTTGAAAATTGTTGCGTGCCGTCGTTCAATCGTAAAGATGTTGAAGATTTAGGAAAATATTCCAAATAAAATACTCAAACTAAGTTAAACTGTTTAATGAAATATTTCTAAGAACAAATTATTTAATTAAATTAACAAATAAACTGGCGTGGAGGTGCTCGCTAAAACACGTCTTAAACACATCTGAATATTGGTCTATTCGGGATTCCCTTATATACCCCGCTTTTTATAGTTGACCCGGATCTAGTGAATACTAAATCACTTGTCATTTGACATTCTGGTTTGATGCTACTAGTATTTTGTGCGCCCAACCCAAGATTATCTATGTAATCAGTTGACCTCGTGAATTCTGCATTTTGCACATATCCTACTGATGCCTGTCTATAATAGTTGTTTTTAATATTTATTACATACTATTTGTCTTCTCTACAATATAACTCATAAAAACCTACATCTTAGTAATATATTATACTAATGCCTATTTATAATAGTTATTCTTAATATTACACCTTGGAATGTAACCATACGGTATATATAATATGTGTTTGCGTTACCCTCTGTTTTAAACTAATAGTTCCTTTCTATTATTTCGAATATTATATTATTTATAATCATTTCCCGATTTCAATTATTTATGATTTATGTGATCCCGCCTATGTTTTAAGAGTCATAAGGACCTACATCTATGTATGTCCGTAACAAAATAAACAGATGCCGATATTTCCGATATCACCAATATCGGCCGATATCAAATATTGGTTCTAGGATCGGCCCACCCCTAGTAATTTATGATATTTTTGTTAATAATAAACAGATGTTAAAATTAACAGAAATAATTCAATGCAACAAAATTTTACTAAAGATAAATAAAAACCATTGCACATTGAAATACCTTGTTGCATCTTGCAATCATAGCTTTTTGAGCCAAGAAGACTTTTTCTGGTGGAATTTCAATGCCTAAATCACCACGGGCTACCATAATACCATCAGAAGCTTCAATGATTTCTTGCAAATTTTTCATACCTTGATGGTTTTCAATTTTTGAAATAATTAATATTTTCTTTCCTTTTTCACCTTTAAAAATAAAATAAATATTACATAAAAATATCTGTAGTTGGTATACAACTAATTTAAGCTTTTTATTTACCTAAGATTTCTCTGATTTCTTTAATTGCAGCTGCTTCTCTGATGAAAGATGCAAAAATCATGTCTACACCTTGATCAACTCCAAATTTTAAATCACTCTTGTCCTTTTCAGAAACAGCTGGTAAATCTACTGGTACACCGGGTAAGTTTACACCTTTGCGGCTTCCTAATGAACCACCATTTTCAATGGTACATACAATAAAATTGCTACCTATAAACAAATTATCGATATCAATTATAAATAAAAATATCAATTTAATTTACATACCAATTTCTTTGACAATCAAAGAAATAAGACCATCATCAATAAACACTCTATTGCCTGGTTTCACTACTTTGATTATGTTAGGGTAGTCAACATAGACATTAGTGGCATTTCCACTATTTTCAAAAGCCTTGTCTGTAGATAAACGGATTTGTTCACCCTTCTTTAATTCTATTTCAGCTGAACCACCCTAAATATAATAAATTTATTTTAATAAAAATTATATAAAATTATCTAAGTTACCAAGATAACGTACTCCTTCTAATAAGCCAGTTCTTATTTCTGGGCCTTTTGTGTCTAAAGCAATAGCCAATGGACTATACACACCAATTTTCTTGCCATAGTTTTCAGCAGCTTGTCTCAAGTTTTTTATGGTATTAGCATGGTATTCATGGGAACCATGAGAAAAGTTCAAGCGACCAACATTCATGCCTGAATCAATCATTTGCTCAAGTGTTTCCACAGCAACCGAAGCAGGTCCTACAAGATTGTATTATTTATTTATTGTATACCTAGATCTACTGAAATTTTTAAATATTAATTGTTGCACTCACCAATAGTACAGATGATACCAGAGAGACGAACAAATTGAGCTTCAACATCGATGTCCAAGGAGCTCATGTAATCCAAATGAGTTGTGGTGTTATCATGATTCAATACAGTTTTAGCCATCTAAAATAAATAGAAAATAGAACTTTTGGTATAAGTTTAGCTTCAGATAAATAATTCAAGCAGACTTTGTGCAACTGATCATGAAATACTGGCCAAGTAAACTTCTTATGTATAGTAGTATGTAAGGAGTTTTTTTTTATAAATAAATTGCAAAATTTAAATGTATGGTTTTTAAATTTAAAACCATTATGTATAAAAGTAAGATAAAATTGAAAGAACATGGTATGAAAGTCAAGTCTAAATGTAAGAATGTCAAGCATGAGGACAGAGTATTTGTAAATGGTATTTAAGATAGCATAAGCAGTATTTGTAAATGGTATTTAAGATAGCATAAGCAGTAATAAGCAATACAAAAAAAAAAGACCGCCGCGCCTGTGCCAAATTGATCACATGGTCTTTCATTTATGATTGGCATACAAGTTCAAACAATTTGTATTCTATTGTCTTAGTATAAACTTTTAAATTTTGTTTGTGAAATTAACAAAATTAAAAAAAAAAGGAATCTTAAATATTTTTAATTATTTCTTTCAGAAATTAGTTGAAGTGTAATTTATTTACATTTTGTTTTTATGAACTTATTTTTCAATTTTTTTTTTTTTTCATAATAATAATAATAAGTTTATTTCAACATCAACAAATTTAAACATCAAATTTTCTTTAAGTACATCATTGCAGCAACCCCGATAAGTTTGAGCTAAGAGAAATCAATTATAGGTATTAATTACAAGGAAATAATTGAATAATAATAATAAATATTTATTAACTAATATTAGATACAAATTAATTAATTTTACTGTTCAAGAGTATTAATAAATATTTATCATTTAAATATACAATTATGTTTTTTAACCGAGTAATGTGAACAAATTCATCCAAAACCAAGTTTTAGTGTCAAATATTTATTAGGAATTAACTGTACTCGATATTTCAATTTTAAAGCAATATACATATTTTTAATAGATGTTTAGCTAATATAAATAAATATAAAAGTATAGTTTTAATAAACAGTTTGAATGCAATCATTAGTATACTTTATAAAATACTGAATTATATCCTGAATTCTGATTACTAAGATCCTGAATACTTAGAGTATTTTCAGAAATTACTAAAATATATTAATAAGCAATTATTTTTCATATTATACATTAAAAATACTTTTTTAAAAGTTACAGGTACTATGGAAATTTATACTAAATGAGTTAGTATTTCAGACTTTAACAATTTTTTTATGTTGGTATAGGAAAAACATACCCATTATTTTTATAACACCTCTAAATTAATTAATTTTTATTAGTTATTTTGATGTATTGACTTTGAGAATAATTGAGATTTCTCCAAGATTAAACTAGATCAGTGATTCACTGACCTTGGTTTTCAAGGTCAATGTATCATTTTATAATAGTTTTAAATAAGTATTTACATAAAAATAATTGATTATAATATTTGAAGATAAACATAGGTAAGACCCTTGCAAAAAAAATATAATTATCTGAAATATATTGAAAATGACAAAATGTCCAATTAAAATTGTTAACAATAGAGCAAAATAATAATTTCCCATTTTATTAGATCATCTAATTACCTAATTAAAAATGTATAATGGTATGTACAGTTGAATGAACAATTAAATTTATTTAAGAAAATTGTTAATCTACAGTCAATATTATGACCATCTGTTATTCAAATTAATAACATTTTTAAGTAGGTATATGATAATAAATGTAAGAGTAATTGTTTTAAATACAACTAATAGAGACTAAGGTCATATTAGTACTACAAAAGCTCAAACAAGAAATAAAATCACACATTAAAATGCATTAAAAAGAAAAATAGTACAAGTAAAAAATAAATGGCTTTTCTGAATTTTATACTACATAGAAGATATGTACAATACAAACACGGCGTGTTGTACAGCATAGACGTGTGCCTATGAAAACGATTATTTATCGTTTTGTTTACAATTATACACCTCGGGAACAATGAAGTTGGATCGCATGCGTTTCGTGAAGTAACCAAATCTGAAGGCCAATGCTGAATTCGTCGGAAGAGGAGTTTTCACGCAACCATTGGCTACAAAACGGAAAACAGCGGTGGACACACGGTGCATTTAAAAGTGCACGAACTATGGAAAAGTGAAATCGAAGATAAACGGGACGAGGAAAAAAAACATAAAAAAATTAACACCGATTACTTAGGGCGAGATACGAGTTAGGCGTATGAAAGGAAAGAAGTACCTGGTTAATCTAGAATCGCACACGTAATGCCGCCAAAGATAAGATAATTTTCGCCGTGAGAAAAAAAGATGAGTAAAAAAAGAAAAAAAAAGTGTATATAATAAGGTTCTACGCATAGAAATCCATATTTTACGATTCAAGGTTGCCGCAATGTCAATGATGAAAGTTGATCAGGGGCTGCGTATTGACGTTGATAATATCGGTAAATAATAATATTTTAGATGACACGACTCGACGGTAAATAATAATAAATATAATACAACGCAATGGTTTGTATAGTATATACAAATTTATCAGATACTCACATTGATCGTTTTTTTTTAAATTACGACGGCGTACGTTACGCGGAGGTAAACAACACTATTCGGACGTTTCGCAGTTAGTTATCGAAAGATTACTGGATTTGGTGGAGAAAGATCGGAGTCGTCGACAACAATATTGCACGGTGAATGAAGGGTTTTCGCGAGACGCTCAGGCAGACGAAGCTCAGAAGGTAATCGACCGGATTGGTGTGCCGCTGACTGAATGAACGTGTTAACGTTTTCGGTTTTTCCTGCGCGCTCGCCGGTAGGCTTCATTTCGCTCGTATCCCGTTTTTCTCTCTCGCTCGTTACGCACCGGTGGCGGGGAAACGAATTTAAAATAGAACGCTTTGCATGTCCGCCGTGATAACCTGCACGGCTCCGATCAAGGTGGATATGCTTACGGTTCGTCACAAAACGAGTAGGCAAAAACAAAATTTAAAATTAAATCGTTATTCACGGCGGACGGCCGGCCGGCAGATTGTACAAGCGTGAACATTAATATAATATTATTTTAAGTAAACGTTTCAAATGGGAATGAGAGAGAGAGAGAGTGATAGAAAATGAAAAAAAAAAGAAAGATAAATCCCGTAGTCGTCGGTCGAATATCGGTTACAAGTTCATGATGCTGACTGATAACAGCTGATCGACGCGTCGACCTCATACAACTGATAACGGGTGTTCTCGCGGATCCGTACAAAAACGTTTCATTTATGACAAGAAATGTAATAAATGAATGAAATAAATATAATGTATCGTAAATAACAATATATAATAATATAATAATAATAATAATAATAATAATAATTATAATTATAATAAAAATAATAATAATAATAATAATATTATTAATAAAATAGATCAATCTATTTTATGGTTTCAATATTATCCACGAACTGTCGAATTGTTCTCTCATGCAGTTTTGATCCAATTTTCGTGTTCATTCAATTTCTATTTATAATCCGCACCACCGCGGCAAGTATTTTCTCTCTTCCCTGACACAGCGTCGGAACTGTATCCGATCTAAGTTTTGAGTTTGCGTATTTTGAAAGCAGAATACACGTTGATCACGCGAATGCTCCTCGGTCGCTAATGTGTCAGATGTGTGTACACGTACGCAATATATTCATGACCATTCTAAATTATTATCAATTGGACAAAAAAAAAAAAGTTGAAATGATTACAAGTGAAAAAAATTAGTCGTGACATAATGATTATATTATTGTGGGTTATCGATTCGTGTGCGCGAGCCCCAGAAAACGATTACGATATTAAAAAACAATAATAATGTATGATTTCGCCGCTTGTTCGCTTATTGTTTTCGAATAGGCTTGAAAACCACATCAGAAATTTTGAGTTCTGTGACGTACGCGTATAATCTTTGGAAATACATCCACGAGTCAACCGCTATTTTTTTATTTATTAATTTCGTCACACAACTTTCGATTATTAGATCGCAGCAGTTAATTTCCGTACAGTGTGTTACTTTTAAATTCCGCCCACTCGAACTCGTTATCGTGGATGAAACAATCACGGTTTTGTTTTAGTGGCTAATCAACTGAATAAATATAAATCTTAAACTACTCGTAATTATTTGTACAAATCGACATAGTAAAATTTTTGTACATGAAACTACACGTATTGTAGGTAATTTATTTTTAAAGTAGTATTTTAAATATTTTATTGTTAACCAATTAAAATTATTTAATAATTTGTTTTATAACTGCTTTACATAATAAATGTTATTGTGATAATACAATTTGATAGATGGCAATAATGTTCCTTAATATTTCATCATTGAATGATATTTTATATTTATGGTGTTGAAATTGTAATTTAGTCAATTAGTGTAGTGCATTTTTTTTTAAGTTGACTCAAGTTTTGAGTGCAATTAATGATCACATATTAACAGTAATACCCGATAAATAAGTACCTATTAGAGAAAAAATTAGTATAGGTACTTTCTACAAGTTAGAAGTAGCAATATTCAAGATCAATAATCTACATTGACATTTAAACCGTCTCTTAAATGTATCATGTAAAATACAAATAACTTATAAGTAATTTTACTTAAGTATTAAAACTGCTTCATGGTATATGTTATAAATTAAACGATGACGGAAGTAAGTTATGCACTATGGTAAAAGTTGGAGGAATTTAATTTTAATTTTGTTGTTTTGTTTTTAAAGTACAATGAATTCAATTATGTATGCCGCATTAAATGAATGGCGTAGTACCTACAAATCGTTATAAACTTCAGCCCAATACAAAAACTTCCTAATGGGTAGTTAAATGAAAATACTATTCTCACATAATGAGTTTCTACAATAAATTTTAGTTTTCGCAACTGTTTATACGTATGGAACATAATCAAATATTTTATTACACGACACTTTTTAACCTTTTACAAAGGTTTTCGAGCTAGTATTATTTACAGTTATAACGATTAAACATCACAATTTTGAAACTCATCGATTTCGCGTCCATAACTTTATGTTCTTACAAAATGAATATTATTATCAAATTAAGAAAAACGAAGAGAAACTTTAGTTCTGTCATCACTGAGTAGATTGTTCGAAACTGTACAATTTTGAATCCATCTTAATCAATCAATTCTGAATGGCGACCACATAGAACTTCAAACGAACCTTTAGTTATTTTTATATTTTAATCTTTTTGCTATACATTTGTACAACAGTTTAAATTCTTGAAAAGTAAAATAATCTCGAGTGATATTGAAGGTAAAATGTAAAAAAATCCACTTTGTCTTGCTGAGAATTAAATCTCACACCATCAAATATATCACATACAACATTATCAATGTTGAGGGTAAAAGTAGAAAACAATGTACGGTGGAAAAAATATGCATGATATGAATATTATTTATTATATGATATGATTGAATTTAAGTAATTAATAAAATAAGAAGCACTACGGATATGCGTTATTTGACAAACTTGTTAATCGTGATATCTTCTAGATTATTTACATTTAAATATATTTTGGTTCATATATTAATGATTTTTTGTGAGTTTTATTTGTTTATTTATAAAACATTGATCCCACCACGCGCGTTGTATAATGTACACATATGAATCTGCAGCAGTGACGGTTGAGGTGTTTTTAATTGTCACCTTTTTAAAGCGGGCCAGGTGTAGAGGAATATTCTGACTATTGATTTTTAACCGGAAACCTTTTATTTTTGACACCTCACATTCCTATATTCACTTCTGAAACGTTTTAAAAGGTCACATGTTTTCATTCCGATAATAGTCAAAAATATGTCTTCAAGCTAGTTTGGAGGACTTAAACTATATTCAATGCAAACACACGAATAAGCGTGTAGTGAGTATACCGATATTATGAATACCGTACGGCTGTATTGTATACATTTATGTGCCTAGTTTTAATAAAACATGAATCAGCATCTCGCTGTCTAAACATCTGTTATCGTTATAATGTAAGTGTAATATTAATGAGTAAGTATTATATATGATAATAAGTTTGAACCGATTATGATTACATATTGTAAAACATTTGTCAATAATTATTTTTACTTAATTTATTGTTCAGTAAGCCGTTTAAATGTTAACTTTGAGATTTAATACGACTTATTATTGCGCAATAAGTGATAAACTATATTTTCGATTATTGTTTTCCTTGGTTATACTTATACAATATGTTATATCATATATTTTGCAAATACTTGATCTTCTTTTCTATATTACGTATACGATAAGAAAGATGTATTATTATGTTTGTATTCACCACTTCACCACATGGACCTTCATGACATACGGGTCCCACATTTATGTAGGTTCGTTCTATAAATCACATTTGTGTCGGTTGTAGGAAGCACTTAAATGAAAAGTTTAGGGAATTCAGCAGTCGTACAAGTTGAGAAATCTATCCTCGAAAATGAAGAAATGTGTCCAAATACGCATATAATGATGATGTTTAAATTTCCAACTGTTTTTAGTTTGCATGAATAACAAGTTTTGAGCATTAGTAATCCTACATGTTACTTATCCGAATTGAAAAGATATTGTTTTTGAACGTTTGTTTCTTTCGATTTGTTTTTTTTTTTTACATCATAGAATAATTTTAAACTCGAGCGATTATTAGCTTGTGTAAATATTTTACTTCATACAAACATTTTTAATTGTATTTTTAGGATTCATGCCATTAAAATAATTCTATGGGTATCAATTAATACTGATGTATCAATAATGTACGCGTCTGTCGCGTACTATAATACCTAATAATATAATAGTATGCGTTTAAAAATATTGCAATAATAATTCAGATTATAGTATGCTATCATAAAATTAATAAGATTATATTTTATGAAATGTTACGGTACGAATACTTCAAAATTTTAAGAAAGTGACAGACTTTCAACAGCGTTCAAAGATTTCCTTTTTAAAATAACTAGTTCTTCTTTTTGTTTTTGAAATCGTATTAAAAATTACTGCTATCTTGTATGATAAAAATTATTTTAATTTTAAATATTGTATGTGTATTTAAATGTTGATTATATGCAAATTATAATAATATATACTTTGATATTTTATATTATTTTATAATAAAGTATTCTTTTAACATGCTCAGCAGTACAGGTATAAACAAGGAAATAAATATTTATATGACTGTTAAATAAGATAAAATAAGTATCATGCTACAATTTGAGTTAGGTTAGCACTAATACACCATAAATTAAATATTTTATGTTGTTTTCACCATCGTATTAATTGTATTAATTATACAATAATCTATATTTGTCAAAAATCAGTCGCAGGAACTTTACCAAAACATTTTTAAAATATTTTAAGCAAAGCACTATGAAATATTATTTCATTAATAGTATGTGAAAATATAAAATATATATCGGCTGTGTATATGTTTGGCAATTAAAAGCAATCATTGAATTAAAAATAATAAATAAATATCTATATGTTCTTAAATAATAAATATATTAAGTGTTAATTGTTCTTTTGGAAATTAAATTAAATTAAGATGTTATTCGCAATAGTATAATTATTAATAAAATATAAGAAGATTTATATTAATATGATCTGAAATAATAAAAATATTTACTAATAAAAGGTATATTAATTTTTAATCAATACTCAAGGTTTGTAACTTTGAGCTAAAAATATAATAATATTTATAATATTTATTTAATACTATTGCAGTCAGCTTAGGAGAATATTTAATGATAAATAGATAAAATATACAGCGAAAAAAAAATCAAATGTAAAATATTTGATTTGTTATTGATGAAAATCAACCAAAAATACTACAATAAAGGTAAATCATTTTGTGTGTGTTTTTTTTATATTTTCTTTCTGAGGGTAAATAGTACCATTATAATAAAAGGCATTTGTATACCTGTTTGATTTTTAAGTGGAAAAATGTTTGTTTGATTAAATTTTAATATGTGAAATTGGAAACCATAGGATTTGTATATGATTTTATTTTGAGAGATAAATTCGCGATAAGATTTGTAAGATTTATTTATGCGTATATTTGATCTAAGTTTGAGGGGTAGATACCTGAATTTAAAATGGAATATTTAGATAGGGTGTATTTATTTTTCTTTACCGTCAAGAAAAGTTATTTTTCAAGTAGTTTTCTACCTTATACAGTTTTGATAGTTCGTTGAATAATTAAGGAATTAATATTTTACACGGATAAGACTTTTGTTTGTGGAATTATTTTAAGTATATTCGAAAAGTTAATATTACATTTATATTACATTAATAATACGTTGAAAAATTATCCTTTCCTATTATAATAGTCCAAACTATTAATCACTAAATTTAATTATATATATTTTTTTATTTAAATAAGATCATCTATCAAATTTAAATAATTCGAATTAATTCAATTGTAACCCAAGATATAAAGAAAACTGAACTTCTTTAGATTGAGAGTAAGATTAACTAACTAAAAGATACTTATTAACTAAAAAAAAATTAGAGCTTTTTTTTTTTAATTTGCTTTTTAGAGCTTATTTTTTTAAATTATTAAATTTTTATTAATTTATGCAAATGAAATAAGTTTGAAAAGTAGGAATAGACAGTTAATTACTGTCTAGATTATTAATCAGGTATTAGATGTATTAGAATTAAACGATGTACAAACACTCCGTTTTCAAATATAATATAATTAATGTAATCAATTTAATATTTATTTATTAATTTTTAATTAATTTAAACGAATATAATTAATCAAAGTTAAAGGAAACAATATTTGTTGATAATGTATCGTATAGTTTAGTAAAAACAAGTCTACGATGAATTATCATCGACATCTCATCGAATTCTATCGAGCGACATTTGATTGCAGTAACTTCGTCGTCTTATAATCGCTTACATGATAACTATTAAGCATACTTATATAATAACGTAAATTTGTTGTTCAAAATTACAATCAATTGAATTTTGACATAATTATTTAATGTTTTTAATTATTGATTAATATTAATAATAAACATATTAATTCATTTTGTTGTAAAATTAATTATTTTATTAATTTTAATCATGCCGATTATGAAAACATTCTCAAGTTTAATGAATACAATTTTCGTTTTATTTATATCAATTGATATTACTTCTTGATATTTATACTAATTAACCTTCATCAAAATCTAAAGGTTATTATACAGTTTCCATAATATAACATTGAACTGATGAACTCTTTTTTATATTTTTTTTTTATTAGAAAACATAATTACAATCTAAAAAACATTCAGTTGATGAGTTACAAACAACTAATATTTGAGTTGATGATAAATAAATATTTCAACATATTTGACGTACCTATAAGAATATATTTTTAAGTTTCCAGGTGATATCATTATTTTTACAATTGAAACTTTTAGATGTATTCAAAACACGAATCCGATAGAGTGTAAATAGTTTTATTTTTTTATTATGATTTAACTAAAGTCTGAACAGAAGTATAACATTACATTTTTAACTCCATATTTATCTGTTAACACCGTGTTAACTATAGAATCTTGAACTGTAAACATGAGTGTCGATTAGTATAATGAGGCGGATCAAAAAAAAATTAAAATAAAAATAAAATTCCCGTGCAAGTGAAATGGGAAATGCAATATTTTACAAATACCTAACATTTGTATTCTTTCATAAATGTAGGATTGAAAATCTTGGAGTAAAGGTATTTATTAGGGTGACCTGACAAATGGCAATCTGTTGGAAGTCTTTGCGTAATCCGACCAACATCTAATACTGATCGTTTGTCATATTCAGCCCACGACTGAAACCTAACATTCCTATTTGTCTTCACTATCCCCATATAGATATGGTCACTTATATTTCACATACGACAGTTTTGTTAATGATATATCAGCGATGTATTACCGAGGATATTTTTTCTTATCGGCACCGAATACCGCACGATCACACGGGAAGAGTTTCTATGAATTATGAATGATAAAGAAGATCTCGTAAATTGAAAGTATAATTAATTAATGTTTACCTGGGTTTACATAAATTATTCAAATACTGGAATCACGAATTTCCTGGGGTGAATCTGCTGTTTCTTAATTTAGGATCCGTTGAAGTATTTAATTTTCGTGATTAATTTAATAAATAATAATCTTGGTATTTTCTTCTGCGACATTTTCTTCGAGTAATTCATTTAAATTCGGTTAAGTACATAAAGGTTATGCTTTTTTAACTATACACAAAACAATCATCATCGCTATTTGTACGTTTTAATTTTTAAATTCTACACTCACGGCGATGAATTCGTTGGATGTACTTTCAAAGGTATACTACATTTTTAATTTGATAATTATATTGTTTATAATAATATTCATATACGGTTATTTGTGTCATGCATTATTAATTCGTTATTAATTTCACCTTTGGACATTTTATCGTTTTATCACAAAACAAAACGTGACAACTGTTTTTTTTTTTTACAAACCAATTCGTTATTTATAGTAAGAGTAATGTGATTAAAATGATCAAACACATATCTAAGTAAATTGCTTGCAATAGATTTTTTTAAGAATATAAATAATGTTTTCAATATAAAATGGTTAAATCTAAAAGTTATTTACAAAAGCTACAAAATCATTATTTTAAATAGTTACAAATTTGAGCAGTCAATTAATTTTATAGGTAGATATCAATTTAATATTCGACGCGAGAGACGAAATTGTAATAAAAAATAATTGCAAACAGTTGTGGTTTATATTTCTTAATTGGTAATCATAGAAATACATTTTATTTATGCATTTATATTTTATACTCGAAATGAAAATCATCATTGTTGGAAGAGTCCTATAGGAATAACCGTGTTACTGGGAAATTTCCTGGTGGGCTTGTTGGGAATTTGGGAATTAAAGGGTGCATCGCACAGTTGTTGGGAAATAACACAGTTTTATATTTTAGGCAATACACTATTCAGTTCACTATTCGCGTATGCCTTTTTTTAGTTTTTGTTTTTATGATACATTTCTGGACAAACTTGTAAATAAAATACCTTATTATATCCGTAATGTTATCATACGTTTACATTCTATTTTTAACCTACATTTATTTTACAAGTAGTAAATTATGTGAACACAATTTGTAATTTAATTTGTTCAACTTAATTAATTCATATAAATAAATGTGTATACATCTAGGATGTCTGAATGCATTTTAAAAGTATTAAAACAGTATTTAAATGTAATTAAAATCCATAAATACATACGCATTTATAATACTTACAAGGTTTTAAAAATGTGCGTGTATCACCATCAATCTTTAAAGGGATTGAATAAAAATGTATAAGATACAATTGATTTATTTTATAAATTGTACGTTAATATTGAATTTATATTGATAATCAGTTTCAATAACAAAATAATTGTCGAGGAAGAGTTGGCTTACACAAATACAGCAAGTTTCTTCTATAGATTTGGAATAGACTGATTTATACTAGTGATATTGATACTAGTGCAAATGTTGAATGGTAAAAATCAATAAATTACATTAATCAATTTGTTTACTTTTAGATAAACTTGTGGTTTTTACTATTTTGGTGGGGGATACTCATCAGTCTTGTAAACAGTGGGCCAAATATATGGGCACCATTAATTTGACCTAATCTAATCTAACCGGCCGGAAATAATATTGTTATAAAAAAAAAAAAATTATAAAAATAGCCACCAGGTGAGTAAAATCGTATTTTGCAGATTATTGTAATTTATTTTTGTCGAAGTTATCATTAAATAATCTTATTTTCATTCGTTCTTGGATTATTTCTTTCGAGATATTTTTGAATGACAATTCGTTCGGAGAAGAAAATATTTTTGTCAACTAGACTCACTCATTATCATACTGTTGTCTGTGCTCCTCGTGCTCCAACGGGATAGAAGCATTTGTACCAAATAGTTTTTTTTACTTACATTTAAGAATTTCAAATAAAGACAATCTACAATTGATTACACAAATAAAAAAAAATTAAAAAAATTAAATTTTTCGTGCGATATTCATACGAATAATATATATATATTTCGTGTGTATACAACTTAACTCCATTTTATCATGGTCGTACGCGCATACCGATAGTTATCGAACGGTTAAAGGTTTCGATTGTCAACAGACATTGTATTGACTACTGTGGAAAAGTAGTGTTAAAATTATGTTAAATTATGTTCGCGTTTAATTTTAATGCCGGATCCGGTCAGTTGACTGTACATTATTTCGATTATAACGACATGACGTGGTACGGTTACGAGACATACTCTGTGTCACACACACGCGCAAAGAGAGAGTGTTTATCATAATAATAATAATAATAATAATATGTCCTCCGGGGGAACACATATGTGCGACGTCGGCAGACGACATACCGCGTGGTTTTTCTCTCAACCGGTTATACCTCCCGTTAGAATCGTTCAGTCGGTGTATCTACCCGTTGCTGTGTGCACGTACTCTGTAGAGCAGTTGCCATTGTATTTCACCGCGTGAAAATATAACCTCTTGATATCAATAATATTCGCATTTTTCAGTTAAAGACGTTTTTGACGATTTTATTCGATTGTTTTCGTCTGATTTACAATTTCGTATACCGTTGACAAGCACTTGCGTGCGCAATTATTTCGGCAGAGCAACGATTAACTCAGTACAAGGCACAATCGGCAGAAATGGCGCCGTCTTCAAAACAAGTGATAAATTTCGGCGCAGGACCGGCCAAGGTGCCCAGACAGGTAAAAATATTAATGTGTTTGGCTTTACGACATTCGCATCCAAATTTCCGCACGGTTATTCGATTTTCTTTGATTTTTTTTTTCGTCATCTACGTTTTCCCGTTTTCAGGTTCTCGAACAGGTGAAAGAAGAACTGTTAGACTGTGGTTGTGGTATCAGCGTTATGGAGCTCAGTCATCGATCCTCTGAGTACGCGGCCATCAACAACCGGGCAATCGCATTGTACCGAGAATTAATGTAAATATAAGGGCATAATAATTTTTGTACGCCCGACGTTTGTCATCGTTGCATTTATTTGCATTTAATTAATTGACCATATCCGTAATACATAAGGTACCTAAGGTATGTGCATGTAGTGGCTTAGATTTTTTAGCGATAACGATTACGCTTTAAAAAAAAAAAAAAGATCGCAGTGCGATTTTTTATTCTAAGAATTCTGTTAAAATATTAGACCAAAACTGATAATAATTACGTTCCATTTCCTAATTTATTGAATAATTACTAACATAGAACAATTGTACATATGCTAATATGTAAACGTCAAAATTTCAATACGAATAAATATTTTGGTTTCTATAGAGGAATGATACATTTTTTTTTTTTAAGAATTAAAATGGACTTTTTTTGAAATAAAACAAATTCATTGGTTGAAAAAATATAAAATAATTACTTAACACTTTTAAAGCATTTTTGTTCTACTTCTTAAGAATAATTATAACATAATGATTAAAATCATAAAATGGTACAGGTATAAAAATGATTTATTATGCATTCAATTTAATTTGATTTTAAGTAGTGACGAATTTTATGTGGTTTTTTTCTACAAAAATCTTTTTTGAGAACATTATATTTTTGAAGCATTTCATATACTTCTTGATAAATGAAAATAAATTGTACAGAACTACTTTACACTAAACATGCGTTTTAAGTTTTCTTGGTATTTTGAAAAATTCAATCTCAAAGAGCAAAACCATGAAAATTAAAGCATTAAAGCACTGACCTGCTTTTAACAAAATCGATTTTAATAATTCAATGTTGTATTTAAAAAAATAATTATCTCAGTGATTTAAGATTTTAGTTTATTATTTAATTTAATTATTTAGTTTCAAAGTTTTTGTGTTTTGCTTAAATTTAAAAGTAGGTATTCAAATTTTTGAAATTGTATGTGTTATTCATGTTTTATTCTATACAATTTAATTTTAATGTATATGATATCTGTAAGTTTTATATATACATATAATAAGTAAATAATCAAGTAAATAATCAATTAATACAAAGTAAATAAAAAAAATTAAAAAGTTAAAATGTCATTGAATTTTTATGTATTTTAAAAAGGGAATTTATTAAAGCTTTAATTATTATTTTGTACATTAATGCAAATTATATTATTAAATAGTGTTGAAGTTTAATGTTTTTTATAGAACCTTTTAATTACGTTACCTATTGATATTATTAATATTTAACGTTTTTAGTATAAATTATATTTGAAATTAAAAAATTATAAATTTTATGCTGAAATATCGCGTGTGCAATTTTAAGTTCATGTTATACAAATTATATAAAAAATATTTATGTTTATAATGAATTGAAAATATTACAGAGGCATCCCAGAAAATTATAAAATATTATTAATGCAAGGAGGAGGAACCGGTGCTTTTGCTTCAGTAGCGTTGAATTTAATGCATAGGGGTGAAAAAGCTGATTATATATTAACAGGTGATTTTTTTTCTTCATCGTTTTGTTTATTTATTTAATCTATCTGATTTCTTTTGACAGGCGTTTGGTCAACAAAAGCAGCTAATGAAGCATCTAAGTACTTAAAAGTTAACCATGTGTTTCCAAAACCTGAGAAATTTAACGCGATTCCTGATCAATCAACATGGAACCTAGATCCAGAAGCTGCGTATGTGTATTATTGTGATAACGAAACAGTGAACGGTAAGAAATGGTTTAGAATGGGCTATTATAAAGAGATGAAAATTATAAGGGACAACAATTATTTGCAAGTTGATTGTTGTATTTTATTTCTTTGCTCTCTTCAAAAACATTGAACGGTTTATTTTTTTTTTTTTATTTAATACTCCTGTTTAAAAATAACGGTTTAATATAGTTTTCATAATTTATCTTCTGTAATGTTCAGAATATCAAATATAGATGAATTTTTGGTTTTCAAGTTTAAAACATTGATTCTCAAATTGAAAATTGTATTAAATTAATTTAAAACTAATGTCCTACAGTTTTTTATTTCTTATTAGGCTCGTTGCTAAAGCATTTTATGATTTTAAAATGAGAAAATGTCATGTATTTTGGAGAATTATACTTATACAGAAACTGTTTACTGCATTAGATTCTTTAAATACCTAAATAATTTTTGAAATTAGATTAAAATCTATAGAAAAGTTAAATCAACGATCATTTCAAAAACATCCTATGATTTAGTTTTTAAATGTGTTATAATTATAAAACTTTTTTTTTTTTGTTTTTAATTAGTTTTATTATGTAATCTGTAAATATAATATTTTTACAATAAGTATTAGTGCTGTACAGGTAGAAATAGAATAAAAATAAAATAAAAAGGAACTGTTGACTTCTACTGATGAATCCATCCAGCGATGGAACTTCTTGACATTGTGAATGGGTTATATTCAACCAGGAGATCCTGATACCATTTGTGTCTTAAACGTCTTCTAGGGTCACCTGGGATGTTGAGGTCAGATAAGTTTGAGATTAGGGGATGCGATGGTTGGAGAGATTTGAGTGGAATCGTTTTTATAGAGTTTTGGTTGTACTGTTGGAATGGAGAGGTCATTATGGAGTGTATCGTTTGAGATATAAAATAGGGCTTTGGTAATTTATCGAAAGTATTTGGATTGGAATGTTTGAATTTTCTTTATATTTGATGGTTTGGTCGAACCCCAAAGTTGTTTACTATATGACCATATGGGTTTTAGTAATAGTTTATAAGTATTTTGTTGCTCAGATTGATGTGTTTAGAAGTTAGGATAAGACGTAGTTGACGGATCGGTTATTCAGTGCGATACTTTTGATATGGATGTGGTGGGCCCAGGTCAGTCAACGGTCCAGGTGGAGGCTGAGATATCGGACATGACATTTTGTGTGGGTGGGATGGGTAGGTTATTGAAAGTTATGGTAGGGCAGTATCTTGGTCTTAAAGTAAAAGTGCAATGGGCGGATTTTGACCCATTTATCTTAATTCCCCAGTCTTTATATCAGGTTTGGAGTAGATTTAAGTGGAATTGAATGAGGTTTGAGGCTATTTCAGGTTCTGAGTTAAGCGCCATAATGGCATTGTCAATAAGTCACCTGTGATTGAATGATTAGTTGTGGGTTGGTTGGAGGTGTATTATAAAAATTAATTTAAAAAAATGATAACAACTAATAATTGTATACTAATAATAATTATTAGTATAAGATTAGTATTAGTATATAATATATAGTATTAGTATAATTATTATACTTCACACTCAATTTTGAAGTTTAAAATAAATTATTTTTCTTAAATTAATGATAATTTTTACATTTGTACAGGTGTCGAGTTTTCTTTCATTCCCGAAACTAAAGGCGTGCCATTGGTGTGTGACATGTCATCCAACATTATGACGAGGAAATTTGACGTGAGCAAGGTAAATAACATCAAAACGTGTATCTTATATGACCATCTTCTCTTTTTCTCTCAATGATGATGTATTACCTTTTCGATGTTGAAGATATGAGATGTAATCATATTAATTTTGCCATTTCGTCCACAGTTCGGTGTGGTGATTGCTTGTGCGCAAAAGAATCTCGGTCCCTCGGGTATTACTGCAATTATTATTCGCGAAGACCTTCTAGGAAAACCGAGTCCACTTTGTCCTCAAGTTTTCGACTATACATTATTCACAAAAGAAAACTCTTTGCTCAATACACCTCCAACTTTCATGTAAGTTAATTAACTTTCCACGTGCTAATAAAAAAGCAATTCGATGATTATAATACATTTCTATTTAGAGTTTATATCTTCTCGCTGGTATTAGAATGGGTTAAAAATCAAGGAGGACTTGTTGCCATGGAAGCTAATTCAAAGGCTAAAAGCGAGTTGCTGTACTCAGTTATTTCGGATTCTCAAGGTTTCTATTCATGTCCGGTCGCTAAGGACTGCAGAAGTCGTATTACCGTGCCGTTTTGCTTGAATGCAGGACCCGAAGCTGACAAGCAGTTTTTAAAGGAAGCACAAGAATTAGGATTCTTACAGCTTAAAGGGCACAGGTATATAATGTAAATATTTATTAATCCTGATGAAATTAAAAATCATATGAGTTATTTGTTCGTAGATTGGTGGGAGGTATCCGAGCAGCCATGTACAATGCCTTAACATTGGACGAAGTAAAAATCCTAGTTGATTTTATGAAAACATTTCAAGAACGTAATCCACAATATTCTGTTTGAACAAATATTAAACCATTCGATATAAATATATTTATATATATGTATTATATTCATTTTTTTTTAGTTTGATTTTTTGACATTTTACTTAAAGCATTCATTTATATAAATATATATATATATATATAAATAGTGTTCCCAATTTTGAAATTTGATCGTTGAAAATTAATTCGTGTTGATATGAAGCGATTGTACATCATACAAGAATGAGTCGTTAATGTTTTTTGTTCATTGACAGAACAAAAATTATTCCGAGGTACATGTATATACTATTTTGATTTTATTTCCATTGACAAAAAAATAAATACACAGTTTGCGAGAAACGAAATGAAAAAGAGTGAGGGAGGAGAGCGGAGAGAAAAGAAGTTAGGAGAGAGAGAGAGAGAAAGGGAGAGAGAGCTTTTAGTGAAATAGGATATTTTATTATTACCGAGGAGGTCGAAAGGATAAATCAATGTCACGGACGGGTAGCGCCCAGATGGCGGAATAAATTAGCGTTCAGTTCTCCTAAAAACGCGATTTTCAACAGGCCAACGTCGGACTTAATAATAAATGTATGGAATTATTTGAAACTTTAAAACTAACAGGACACACGCAAAACCTGGAAAACATATTGATCAGTATTTGATTTAACCTCGTCAAGTAGTAACTTTAAAGGTATTTTATGAAATTTATGTTTTTAATGGGAAAAAAAAATTTATTTTGTGTCTAAGAATGTGTTGGTATTAAAAAATGATTATGCTTATATGTATATATTCACATAACAGATGATCCCTTCACGATTTTCACTGTAAGATTATAAGTATTATTTTACATTTACTGTTATTAAAACATACGTGGTCAAATTAATAAATATCTTAGGAAATCCATCTCCTTGAACATTTATTGTACTTGATAAAATTCATGATTCACTTACGTACATGATTAAAATTATTTTCATAGTGAAAAAGTTCAAATTTATCAGTTTTAGTGTCTTGAATAATTTATCAACGCTTCATTTACACATTTCAATTTTAATGTCAATGCATAAGTAAAGTGTAAGATGTAGAAATAAATTTAGTATATTTAAATAATTAAGTGAAAATACTGAATCGGATTCAATTTATACTATTATTTATTTATTATTAACTCGTTAGTTAAATGATCATCCGAGAAATGTCAATAATTGTATAATATTTGTGTACCATTATTGATTAAATGACGTCAATCTATAAGGGTTTTCCATAAAAATGTTATCACAATAATTCAATGAAATAACTCACTGTTGGAGTCAGTAATGTATTATTATAAATATAAAAGTTAAATTTTTATAGCCTATGTAGTATGAAATCCATAGGATCAACACTTTTTGAGGTTATGACAATTTACGAGTTTCAAAAACTTATAAATAGGATGTAAAATATAATTTAATTGTTATTACCCATGAATACGTCCGTGTTTTATTATATTTTATATTTTCAAGTACAACGCTAATGATATTTGATTCAAATGTTTAAGTACTTTTGTATTCTTATTAATATTAACAATATACATGTCATATGATAATCACACGAGGGTTTTGAGTAGTGTCGTTTTCTGAATTTATTTCTAAAGGGTCTTCTCGAATGTACTTACCAGTTAAAATAATTGTGAATCATCGCAAAAAAAATAAAAATTGAATTGATAATATCATTAATATGGTTTATTTTCATGATAAAAATCGGTATAAAATATTTAAAGAAACTTTCATTGAGTGAACAACACTATAACATAAATAATAAATATAATGTAATACTTGTCAGAATATATTAATATAATTTTTTCGATTGGTAATCATAATAATTATCAAAAACGATTCAGCAGATCCTCTCGGATAAACCTTCGGATTTCGGTTTAGAAAACACTGAAGATAAGGTATATTGCACGATTTTCACACGTACGTAAACATTCATCTCCATAACAGTATGTACTTTTGTTTATATTTTATGTAATAAAATATACACTAAGCATAAATATAAGTAATATGTAGTGTGCATTAAAATCGTAATAGAATAGAAAATTCGTAAAAGTATAAAAAATGTGCTTAAGGCGTACTGCTTTCGTTGAGCATATTTTATTCGAGAAATCGTTTTTAAGTGTTTTTTTTTATTCGATTCCTTATGGACTAATAAACACCCGCGAGATTGCGAGGGTCGAAGCGTTAAAGATGTACATTTTTTAATTAGAATAAAAAGGAGAAGAGGTTACCGGTCAGCAATGACCGAATCGCGTGCGAAAAAAGGTCGACTCGCGTCCACGGTTTTTCCAGTCGGGTACGAATTACGTGAGCAATTTTTTTTTCAGGCAGGTGCACATAACAATGTTTATTATTTTTGTATATAATCAATTAATATTATAATAATAATATTTATATTCTTAATTATTTTCATATATATTTCGTAATATTTCTTGTAAACAAATAAGCTGTTCATTTTGATTTTTATAGATCTTTTGTGTGTTGTGCTTCGGGTTAAAAATAATATTTTAAGTGTAGGAAAATTGTTCATAGAAACATTGTATTTTGTCGACGATCAATTGGTTATTCTCGTTCACCTCCCAACTGTATTGTAGTGCACGTGGATATTTTTATCACAGAGCTTTATCACCTTGTTGACGGGCGTACCGCATACTTACGACCGCGCTTTACGATTTCGTCGTTGTATTGTACACAAATAACCATTGAAACACGTACGAAACGGACCCGTTCAGACGTACCGTGCGCGCAACTCGGCCAGGGTGAAAAAAAATTGTTGAACATTTTTTGTTTGCACGTGATTCGGATGCAACCGAGGTCGCCCACGGCGTATTCGTCGCGAATCCGAATCAATCGCGGGTATCGTGATAGCAGTTTTTTCCGATCGTTATGCACCATCGCGTTTATCGCGCGAACACAGCGAACGTACGGGTGGTGCAGCGAATGTATTGACGTTAGCGCTCGCGAAGAAAAAGCAAAAAAAGAATAAAAAAAAAAACTACCTACTCGTCGAGACGTACACATAATTCTTACCGGAACTGTCGGTTTAATCAATTGCGAGGAAAAAAAAGAAAATGAAACGAAATAGATTTTCCCTTTCTCGGTTCGCGCCGGGCTCGGAGGGAAGCAGACGAAAATTAGATATTCCGTTAACGTTTCTCCTTCGCCCGTTAAACGAGGACGGGTTCCGCAGTTACGCCGTCTGGCGCATTTAACCGAATCTATTTTTCGAAAACGGCTTTCAACCTGTTGTCAAACTCACATATAGGTATAGTAAGACGTGTATATATATATATTGTAAAAGTCGTTTACTCCCGTTATGATAATAGTGGTGGTAGAATATCGTACGGGAGGCAGGAGAGAACATCAAGGGAAAACTTCAATTTCGTCGACGAAAAGTTTCGTAAGTGAAATACATCAAATATTTCACTTGTATAAAACTTTACGCCGCTATTTCGGATAAAAAAAAAAAAAAAAAAAAACGAATACAAATATTCGATTAATTAATACATAGTTATACTAAACGAATAAATGGAAACAAGCATCGTGATTACGCTAGTGATTTTCATTCCCGGTACACTGTAAAATACGTATTTGCATCAGCCATTAGCCAGAAAGATATTATAGATATTATATCAACGATCATTCAGTATACTGTACACTATAGTGTTCATGTGTACCTACTAGTTAGTTACGATAGTTATGATTCTAGAATGTTACAGTTTGTTTATCTATCACCCACGGTTCCCGAGTGTGCAGAAGCCTTCAATTTTCCTCCGTTAAAAGCATTTCTCGTTCGAGTTTTAATAGTTTTGATAGCTCGCTGCTCTCCGGCTTTTAATGAAAAAAAAATAAAGCCCTTTCGTAAAATTTGATAATATTAGTTTCTTGTCCGACGTATTTGTTTGTTTACGGTGTTCCGCTTAACGAAATTTATTGTTGGAGTGAAAAAAAAATGAGTTTTCTAAAAAGGTAAAAAGAAATTAAATTATCATTATTATTATTAATTTTATTTTTAAATTCTGTTTTCAAAAGAACCGCGACGAAGCAGGTCGCTCCGTCTAAACCTCAGAGTCCGGTAGCCCACTAAATGTATTAATAACACCGACGTTACGATAAGTGATACAATAAAAGTACTGAATGGTGAAACGCGGTGTGGATTGTTTACAATTTTTGGAACGCAAAAAATGGCCAATTTTCTCGTGACGCGTTACAACGAGTGCGTCTATTGTATCCGTAATCACTGAACACACAAAAATAGCATTTATGTATACAAGAATTCGATTCGACTTATACAAAAGTCAAACAACGCGATAATAATATAATGGGTTGCCCTTAGTAACAGCGAACGGACTACGGCTTTTAAACGTTACGTAATTCACTACGTTTATAGACAACAATTGACTCCTAAAATATTTACCCCTGTTGACCGACATTTACCCTCCCCCGGACTCATATAGTAACCGCTATCCATGGTAACTTAACTCCGCTATACTGCACAAAAGGCAATACGTGTTTATATAATAAAATATAAATATTTATGTACAGAAAATTCGAAATTAAGAACACACACGCGGACGTTATTTGCGGACAACGGCAGCAAAGATGTTTATCGGTCAAGAGTTGAATTGTTAAAAAAGGACGACGTTACATTGTATTAGGTGCACGTGTGTGTTACTCGGCAAAGTGGTATTTGCATGTGCATAAAGTGAATGGGCTTAACAATCGTGCTTATTATTATTATTGTTGGTACGCATATATGTAGTACACAGTGTCGTATTTTCGTGTAATACTATAGTATAGTAATAAATGATGTACACGTTATATACGTCGAGTATGGTGACTGACGATGTGAGCAACTTTGCGGCGTGTAACACAATAATGCTATGGCACGGCGAGTATGTAATGTAAGTACTCCCATTGCCTACACGTCGCAGCCGGAAAACGACCCGAAGCAATTCATTATTAATCTGATAGAATCGTATAGAACAATTTGTAAACGCGTATGAATATGCGGTGGACGTCGTGACCGGTCGTTTGCGGTAAACCACCCTCTCTTCGTAC